AACACAGAGCTAAGCACTAAGCAGGCACCTAAAGTCTGATGGACTGAATTTATCTAGATCCTTTTTAGTTAGGTACCTAAAATACTCAGGAAAATATGACCCAAAGCAGCTCTGGGAAATTTGTTGCCGAAAACACTCCTATGCCCAACTATTTGCAGCATCCAAAAACTTGTTTTTTCATGCAATTTGATAGGCAGAAAACTCACAATTATGTACAGGGGGTAAGTAGACACTGTTATTTATTCTTATCTTTGAAGGGAAACTCAGGGCAACCCAAAACTCCTAACTAGGGAACAAAGCTCCATCTTTATACTAAATTTTAAAAAAATGTAGGCTGTGTATCTGACTTCCAATTTCTGAATGTCCTCTATCTTTTCACCTATCCTGGAATTCAATGACTTGCCTTTCTGCAAATACAGAATTATTGGAATTCCCAAATGTCAGTGGTTCTCAAACTCGGATGTGCATAGATCCACCTTGTTAAAAACAGATGTCTGAATACTATCTTTGTAGATTCTGATTCTGTATGTTTGAGGGGTTGCCGCCCCCCCCCCGACTTTCCACTGTTAAATTTTCTTGGCAGTAGGTTCAAGAATTTGCATATATGAGTCAGTGACTGAGCAGAAAGTTCTTCTGATATGGATAGTAAATGATGGAAGCAAGTAAATAGATTATTCCTTTTCATTAACAATCAAGAGACACTTCTAGAACAAGGTCATGTTTTAACAAGGTCCTCAGGCAATGCTGATGTATCTCAAAGTTTGAGAACCACTATATACAATATGAGAAAAAAAGAACTTGAAGTTCCCCAGGTTTCAGGGCAGTTCAGAGACATGGAAAGAATCAGCATATGACCTAGGGACCTTGTTAAAATACAGATTCTGATTTAGTGGGTTTGGGGTAGGATCCGAGTTGCTGCCTTTCTAACCCAGTGTTGCTGATGCTGCTGGCCAATGGAACACACTTTGAGTAACAAGGGTTAAGAGCATAGGCTGAGTTGGGGGAAAGTCCCAAAGACCTGGATCAAATCCTGGCTTCACCACTTTACTAGCTGTGTGATACTAGGCTAGTTACTTAGCCTCTCTCGCCCATTTCTTTATCTGCAAAATGGAGGTGGCCAGGTGGGAGGGAAGAATAGCACTAATCCCAGAGTATTGTGGTGAGAATTAAATGTCCCAGTGCATAAGCACTTGCAAGGTAAGCACTTACCAAAGTACCAAGCACATAGTAAGAGTCTAACAAACAGTAGCTCTTACCATTAAAAATTTCCCCAAGTTGCCATTCCAGGAGTTAGGCTTCTGGTCTCATGCAAAACTGTCTGCATGACTATTTCTTGCACGGTGGCTGCCTGGCTTGCTGCATTGCCTCACCAGATTATAACTTAGCCTCAAATATGATTTCTGTTAGTGGGCTGGAGCTGAGCACAACAAGGTGTGGAGGACTGAGCACCCCTTATTCAGACTATGGGTGCTCCCTGGGTGATCCCTCCCCATTGGGTCTGGAAATGCAGGGGTCACAGTGGGACCTGGCCATGGCTTCTCCACAGTGGCTGCTATTTCCAGTTCATGTCTATGAAATACATATAATTTTAAATCTTTACCAAGAGAGAGCCTTCTCTCTGTGGTTGATTTATAGAGTCATATTTATACCCTTATTATAAGTCAGCATTCTGGGCTTTGACTCCCCTGGGGTTCCTGTGGCTTGCTCCTGGGACAGCCAGAGTTATAACACTGATCAAACCCGCTGACCATGTCATTCCGAGCTAGCAGACTCGGCTTCCCTGCCCTTCATGCCAGGGGTTTGATTGGATTTGGGGGTGGTTAGAGCCGAATCCTGCATCCCTGAAAAAAATTGCTTCTTGCTGTGGTTTGCCTGCCTGTAACAATTCTGAATGTTCTGGAATAATGTGCTAGGCTAGCCATAGTTTGAGAATGTAGTCTGTCATTGGGAGAGCCAATGACCAATACTCCAGCATTCCTCAGTGGTCAAGAGGACAATTTCACTACAATACATGTCCTGGAATTTCAGAGCAATACACAGCACAGGAGCAAAACGACAAAGATGTTCAAACAATTTAACTTTTGTTATCAGCACTCTCATGTGTAAGGAGTCACATCTCAAGCTCCTCACTCTGCTTTCTCTAGCCTAAATATTCTCTTTAATACTGACTTCTTACATCCTAGGCTTTGATTTGGGGGCCCAAGACTGTCTCTTCCTGTGATTAGACTTCTCTGGCAGCCATAGGGAATTCTTAAAGGCATGCATATTCTGTCATTAAAGACTCAGTCTTATTGTTCTTTTTAAACTATCACTCACAGCTTAGAGGATTTTTCTTTTATTTTAAGTAGCATTATAATTAGTGACATAGTTTCATAAGGTAAAGGACGAACTATTGGTTCTTTCTTTTCTTGCTTTTTTTCTCTCCCTGATTTGGCACCAATTTAGGGAATTTGCAGATAGGATACAGGGATCTAGCAAAAATTCCTGATATAAACAGATAACGGGGGCAAGAAAATGGATTCTCTTTCTGCTTTTTATAGAGGCCAAGGCTTTATCCCCACAGCCAGGAAGCAGGTAGGTACCTCCTTACATGCAGGAAGAGGGATCCTGTGCCTCAGTTTCCCAGGGAAACAACAGAAGCCATCTTCTTGGATTTCCTGGTGAGTGGCGAGGAGTCTCATAGTCCTGGGCTCAGGACTGCTGTGCATGAGGCCATTTGGGGCCTTGTCTGAGGGTCTACTGAGATAAGAACCACTGGGCTGGGCTTGGGAGTAGCCTTGTGCAGGGCCCTGCTCCTGCTGGGCTCCCTCAAATGAACAGAGATAGCAGGCTTGGAGAAGGGAGTTGCGTAGACGGAGGTGAGGAAAGATACCATCTTCATTTTAGGAAACTGTGAGCACCTAGGTACAAAGGAGGGACTTGCACTAATGCACCTTGGAAGAAGGAGTACCTATTGTGGAATCCCCAACCAAAGCCCAATCACAGAAGAGAGTGGGGAGCAGGGAGACAAAGAAGTACACGGATAGGAGAGTGTGCTCTATATGCAAGGTTCGGCCCCTAGGGAGGGCAAGGCAAGTTCCTTAGGCCATGTGAAAAGTATAGGGGTGGGTCCTTAGTGTTGAAATTTGGTTAAATCAAAAGAAATTTAAAAAGAGAGAAAATTGCTATTTCCCATGTCAGCCGTAGTCATTTAATTAATATACCTGCACTGAATACTTAGCTAAAGGATTTCATGGACATTTTTTTCAACTTAAAACGCACACCAAAGAGCAAGATTCCACAGTCTTTTCCTTCATACAGTGATTATTATTATTATTTTAAAGATAACCCACTGTGGAAGCCCATAGCACTGCCAGCAAAAACAACGTCCTGCCATCGTTAAAAGTATGTTACAATTTGTGGCTATGTACCCAGCATTTGACATGGAGTGGTGTTCTATTTCAACCCAATTTAATTATATGCTCCTTTTATATATTGTAGATGGCTCACACTAGCAGAATTGTTTTGCCTGGTGAAAAACTGGCCATGACTTGTCATAATGGGCTGGTTCATAGAACCACTGAAGTATAGTTACTGCCCATCATTCGGGAATTATGGCACCATAACAACCCTTTATTTACATATACTGCTGAGACAGTAAAAACAGCAAATAGATTTCTTAAATCGAGACGGCAGAAATTTCCCCCCAGGGTACTTGGCCCTCATTGTGGCAGTAACATATGCAATTCTAAACAACTTTGGTGTCTGTATTTCGACAGTGCATCATTTCATGGACAGTTTATAACATTCTAATAATAAAATGGACTCTAAATTTGGAGTTGGGCTTCTCTAACATTAGATGGTAATGCGCACAGCAGAATCTCTAAGTGATTTGTGAGGAAGGTTTAAATTTGCTAATCACACTACTGCTGAGCATCTCTGCAAAGGGGCTGAAGTGGAATCAGTGGTTGGGCTGTTGGGAGGTGGCGAGCCTTCAACCGGGAAAATGCCTGACCTAGTTTACATTAACACAGACGCCGAATCTGGGTAAAGTCAGAGATTCTTTTATCTTTAGACTCCCAGGACTTAAATAATCTTGGCTTTTCCCTCAAACAAAAGAAACTCTCTATAGATTTTTTGTTGTTGTTGTCTACTCCTATTCTTTCTTCTTCACAATGTACTTTTGTGGGAAAAAATATTAGGATAAAACATCATTAATTCATTGACTGTTTACCTGTCCTGAGAGTTCATGTAAATTTCCCTCTCCTTACTTTCTACCCCTTTGCAGATCTGTCACTAGACTTATTTTTAATATACACATTCTAAAAATATGCTCTAAAGATCTCCACTGTATTTCTATTCCTGGTGTGGTGGGTTCACCCCTTTTAGCTTCTAGTAAAGTTATACGTCTACGTGTGGTCAGCAATTCCCTGTGCGTTGACGTAGGCAACTGAGACTGCCACTGCCATCGTTCTGCAGTGACGTGCAGGTGGCTCACGAGGGCACACACTTAAAAGTGGGCTCTATCTGTCCAAGCTGCTGAGGCTTGGAAGGGTGAGGGGTGGACAGGGGAGGACACAGAGCTGATGGCACGTCTGGGCTCCTGCGCCAGCCACCACACTGCCTCTGTGGGATGCTGTAAACTGGCTAAATTGGACACTATGGTACTCGTCAAGCTCTGAGATTTCCCTAAAGGGGATTGAGAAGCTCAGTGAGCATCTTTCAGGGGTCCTCAAACTTTTTAAACAGGGGGCCAGTTCACTGTCCCTCAGACCGTTGGAGAGTGCAGCACATTCCACACATGCACACTATGGTCCTGGGACAAGTCGGCTGCTAAGCAGGACAGGCACCTAGCGGGCTGGATAAATGTCCTCAGCGCACACGTGGCCCTTGGGCCGTAGTTTGAAGACCCCTGATAGATGAATACCCCATTCTAGGAGAGCCCTTGGGTGGGGAGGTCCGGACCCCCATTAGGTTCATTCCCCCCCCCCCCAGGATGCCCACTGCGCAGGCGCACTCACCTCCAGAGGGCAGGCCGGCGCAGCTGCCCCCGTGCTGGCACGGGCTGCGCTCGCACGCGTCGGGGTAGAGCACGCAGCCCAGCTTCAGCTCCGTCAGGCCCACCACCTCCGCGAAGCTGCTGCGCTTGTTCTGCAGAGGCAGCTCATTGTTGTTCAGCACCACTGAGTCCAAGCAGCCCTGGAAGCCGCTGAGCACCTGCGTGACCCGCGTGTCGGTCAGGCTGCGGATGTTATCTGCCTGCACCAGGGCGCCGAAGTAGATGGTACTCTCGGTGCTCAGCGTCTGGAAGTAGAGGGGCGCCCTGCGCCGCTCCACGTAGCTGTCGTCCAGGGACAGGCTGGTGAAATTGCGATTGAGCTCCAGGAAGACCGAGTGCCAGCTCCCGTCGTTGACGGCGCGGCCGGAGATGCCCAAGATTCCGGGGCCGCTGCCGCAGTCCAGCTGGAACCACAGCTTGCCATCCACGATCTGCGCGGGGGAGGAAGTGCGGGACCCCTTTTAATGTGCACCTGGCACGGCGTTCCCACACACCCTGTTCCTCGCCAGCCCGGGGGCGTCTCAGGAAGGGGGACATTGTACGGGGGACATTGTTTTTGATGCAGTCATAAATCTGCAGTGGTTTGATCTTTAACCACTTCTCCTCCCCATTATCTGCCATGCAAATGCATGCCTGATATTTCACAAATCTTATAATAATACAAATGTAGCTTCAGACATCCATGATTATATTTAAGAATACTCTTTGAGTCTTCACCCTTTAAAAATTCGCAGCTATACTTTGTTTAGGGGTCAGTTATTCTCTGCACTCTCTTAGTTATTACCAACACAGGAGTGATTTCTGTGAACCCATTAGTATTTATTGTACATCTGCTACATGACAGGCAGCGTGCTAGGTGCTATGGAGACCACAGTGAGCAAGAAGAGTTACCCCTGCCCTCATGTGGCTTATAGTCTAATAGGGGAGGGAGATATAAATCAAATAGTCACACAACTACATCTATACTCCCTGAATAAGTTTATGTAAGTGTGCTGTAGTGAAGAGAAAGAGGTCAGGTAGAAATGAAAGATTTCCTAGTTCTCAGCTTCATGCATATTTGAGATTTAAAAACCTCTTTATGTTAAACACGAGTGTATTCTTAAAATAGTCCTTTAGGATGCTGCTCCTCATTTAGGTAAAAGTTATCTCACAAAGTGCTCAGGGCTTGGCCATTTGCTTAGAATACATGTATATTTAATGACACCTGGCCCTCCAGAAGGATCTTCCTGTTAACTGCTCACACCTTGTGGATGCTATCAGCCTCTGGTCTGGGGTGCTGTAACAGAGACCAACCTGCTTTTCGGATCACAATGGTGTGGTGAGGGCATCCAACTCCCCCCCAGGAGGAGAAGCCCAGAGGACATGACGCACAGGAAGAAAGTATGTGCTACTGGGGGAGACTGGCTAGCAGAGAGCTGGCGAGCAGGGACTGGTTATCCCCAGAGACCCAGGTTCTACTGTTGTACACCCCCGTCTACATTTCTCAGAAATGCAAGGTGGCTTTAGGATCCAGGGGATGAGGGCTGGACTCCTGTCTGGCCAATGTGTTTACATTTGGCCATGGAAGTGTTCACAGCCAGAAACTGTGAAACAAAAGATTCTTTTCTGGCCTATGTCTATGACCCAGCAAGAGGACTTTGTGAAGGCCAGTGTCTGAGTCATGCAAGGTGAACTGGCATTTGTAGTTCTGTGCAGAGAACAGACACTTGCCGACAGATGAAAAGGAAAGGAAAGGAAAGGAAGGGAAAGAAAAGGAAAAGACAGGACAGGACAGGACAACACAGACAGCTAAGGAGGTATAAAGATCAAATGAATTCATAGATACAGACTGAAATGGTCTTTCTGAAATGTGGTTTACTCATGATAGACCTGTTGGGGATTATCTTGGCACCACTCATTCTCACAAATGGAGTATATCTCTATGCCTCAGTATGTTCTGCAGACAACTAATTCTTAGGGACTCTCATTTCTGCCTGTGTAGATTCCATGGATTCTCCTATCCTGCACATCAAGTTCATAGGTCATGCCACATAAACGTGTGTATATGGAAGGCAGAAGGCTTTGTGAACCAGGCAGAGCCCTGGGAATTTAGAAATGCTAAACTGAACTCAGGCTTTGAAATGTACCACCCAGGTCACCTGGGGAGAATGGCTTGGCCTCTCTGGATTTGGGTTTGGAGAACAGAGAACTGCTGTGGCTTACTTTACGAGGCTACTGTGTGTCCACAGCAGAATGGTTAGCCACATCACACACAGGTAGTCCATACATACACTGCTCTGTAATGGTAAATGTATGAACGTAAAAAGACTGGAGACAGATATTTGTGTTCTTTTCAGAGGACTTTCATGTGAATCATATGCTATTGTACTTTTCATTATTATTATTATTTTTTTAGTTCAACAAAATGAACTGAATGGATATTGTAAATTATACCAGAATACTTGCTCAGTGACAACTCTTGGATAATATCCATTATTTGTATTTTAATGTAAATAATAAAATGATCAAATGTGACTTACGGGACTACCTTCTTCTGGCACAGTCTATCTGTTTTTTTGCTGTGTCTACAAAATGCTGTCCCCAGTCTATTATGGAAGTTTTGGTGGTGAGGGTGTAATACATCAAAGTTTTTATAAAGAGATGTTCAATTAACATATTACTTGGTTCATTTCCCTCCCTCACCCCTAACCTCTATCTCCCTGAATAATCAAAAAGCTAACATAGTGAACCGGCCCAGGTTGGAAACGGAGCAGGTCAAAACTCCCGTGCTGATCAGTAGTGGGATCGCGCCTGTGAATAGCCACTGCACTCCAGCCTGGGCAACATAGCGAGACCCCGTCTCTTAAAAAAAAAAAAAAAAAAAAAAAAAGCTAACATATTCACCAGGAAGAAATGATGTAACGCTGATGTATTTATATACATTTAAGTTCTGTAACTAAGGAATATAAAATTATCTTATACTAACACTAAACATGGTTAAGTTGTCATTTTTACTTTCTATTGAAAAAAATAACAGCAGCAACATTGCTAAATGAAGGAAGCCAGATGCCTACACGATTCTTACTCTTCTACAAACAAGAATCATTAGGACCTTCAAAATTCTAGGAGGTTGAAATTATCAGTCTTATTTATATGATAAATTAGAATGCTGATGCCAAAAGTTATCTTGCAAAGAGTTAAAAATCTTTTGCTATTTCACATGTATGTTATGCCAGGGAGAGAAAAGAATATTTTGTTCTTTTCATGTCTAAATTCTTATACTAGAAAAGTATACTCTGATCATTTTTAGTATTTCTATTTTCAGAATAGGGTTTACCTCATTTTAAAGGCTCAGTCTTTTAAGAGAATGAAGCTTTCTCAGATCAGAGGGCAAGCTATTTTAATAAAAATTGAAGTATGCATGAAACTCCAAGAAAAGTCTATAGCAATGACATTGAAATAATTTGCAGGGGGTGGGGTGCAGCCAGGTAATTTGTTAAATGAAATGCATAATTCAGAGAGTTTTGCTCCAATGTTATAAAATATTTAGATCCATGGGATTGTTTGAAATCAGTGATGTGCTTTACCCTGAATCTTCAGTAGCCTGAGGCTTGGGAGACAAGAAATCAGAGCTCTCAATGTCCTACTTTTATAGGAAAGTAGGATTTTGAATAAAAGGTACAAATTATGGCATTATTACTGCTTCAGATGCTTGGTGTGTGGCTCTAGTAAGTGCACCATAATCATGGAACTTGCAAAAGGATTATTGAATATTGTTTGCAAAGGTGATGCTTTAAAAACCCATTTTCAAGGCTGCCATGAATGGTTATCTGGCACACAGTAAGTGCTCAACAATATGTTTTGAATGAATAAACAAATGGATAAATGATCATGCCAGCCACTGAATCTCTTCTTTTGATACACTTCTGCAGCCCTCCCAACCTGCTTGCCTCTGTCACAGGTGTAGACCCACTATCGACTGGCTATCGCTTTGAGCATGTCACCAAAGCTCTCTGAACCTCAGTTTTCTCACAGGCAAAAAGTAGACACTGTACCTACATACAACAGGAGTGAGGATCAAAAATATATGTATTTGAACATACTATGTAAACTCCCAGGTATTTTATTATAATTATAAAATATTATTACAAATTAACTCACTTCTCGGTGACACCCACATAGATCCTTAAAACTCTTGAATCTTGTGGGGCACTTCCTTGTTGCTCTGTTAAGCTATGTTAGAAAGATGTGGCAATCTCAAGTGGGCTGTTTTACAAACCAAATAAGCTTTGCTTATCTTCCTTTTAGTCCTGGGTCTCAAGCTAGCCATGTCAGAATCATAAGAAGGAAGCAATGACTCATGTATGCCTTCCCCAAAAGACAAAACACATGACAGTTCTAGGTAAAACACCAAGTTCTCCTTGTGCTTTTGCCATAATACTGGAGCCAACAGATTGACACAGAGAAAAAGTCTGCTCTCCTGGTGATTTCTCCTTCTTCTGATTGCACATCTCTTCTGGACACTTGACATGTTTCTTTTATAGGTGTGAGGAGAGTCATGGAACCTAACTCGCTGTTTTCACTGTTACTTTGGCTACTAAGAAACTCCTAGTTATGGCTTGTGCTGAACTGAAGTAGTTCTCCTGGGTCTAGATTTTTCAATAATGGCCTTTTACCCTTCCTCACTTCATTGGTTGGCTCTTAACCTTTTATTTTCAGCTTAATGGTGCTTTGACCTTGTTGCATTTGGATGTTTATGGTAAGCCTTGAATCTCTTTTGGAAGAAGATAGGGTATCAATGGCAGAAGAATGAGTGCCTTTTATTGTTGAGAGACAGTGGTACTTCTTGTCCATGAGCATTTTTCACTTCTCCATGCAATTCTTCAACTGTCTTCACGGGGCACTCTTCACCCTACTAATTATCTTAAGTACTTTTTTTAAGAGAATGTGCTCTGACCGGAAAAATATAAACAACCAAGAGGTGCAATTTAAATAAAGCATTTCAGCTTAGTTATTGAACCAAAGTACAAGGCACATAAATGTACCTAAAGCCAAGGAAATTAAATCTTGCATAAGGCTGAAAATGTTAAGCAAACAGATTCAAATCCCCTAAGTGGGTATTCCTGGTGACTGTAGGAGAATAACTGCAATAGTTCAGTACAGCTGCGTCCTGCTTTGGGCAAACCCAACATATGAAAAGCAAACTTACAGAACAGACAGATTGGGGGTGATTATTCGCATCACAAAAGGATTAATGGGAGGGTTCCTTCAAATAGCAACCATCTCTAGTTTGTTATAATTCCATTTACAGAGATTCAATTGACCCAACTTTCAGAAACATGCTTGTTTGATGAAACACAATATACCTTAGGAGCCAGAGCTGCCTAAAAGGTTTAATTCTTCTTTCCCATCCCCAGGGATCTGCATGTTTTAGACATTTGCCGGTGAAGTGTCAAATGACAAACTCCATTTTAGGATCAAGCCATTTCAAGTCCAATATTTTTGTTCTCTTTCAAATTTAATGCTCAATAAGAGACTCGCTAATTGAAAATATTTGCCTCATAAGGATATTCTGCAACCACCAGCCCTGTTAGAGCATGAAGGAATAGCAAGAAAGGTCAGTGGGACCCAAGCAGAGCCCTAGGAATTGGTAGCTCTGAATTTGCAGAGCACTTTCCTAGCAATTATACGAACCCTACCTCTCAGGCCTATTTAGAAAATGATGTACCGACCCAAGGCAGCCTGCTTCAGGGACCAGGAGGAAATAAAGGCAAGATTTAGGTTTCTGAATATTTCTTCTTTCACCATGAAAGAATGCATCTGGTTTGAATGCATTGTTCTCTAAAACCATGTATCTGAGTTTCTTCTCTTATTTTCTTTTAAAAACGTTGCTTTCCTTTGCAGACCTGAAATCATTCTCGGAGTTGCATGAATAATGATAGTGGGAAATTCCTCACAAAAGCTCGAAAGCCAACTTTTAAAATTACTTGGTGGCCACCAAGTAATACCCGGCAATACTAGAAGTGGGTACGTAAGAGCCTGTGTGACAGTTAAGAGAAGCCACTGGCATTTAAGGTTCTCTATATTTCTCTCCTTTCTCATCTGCCTTCAGGATTAGAGCCTGAGTTACCTAATCAACTTGGATCTGACACATCAATCAAAGGACAGAAGCTAGAAGGGCCCAACATGGTCTGCTTTAAACCTGAACCTTGGGAAGAAAAGCCATTTCCACTTAGATGGGCATTTTCTACTGGAGAGACTCCAAATGTTTCTGAAGAGCACTTACGATGGGCTGGGATAGCAACCTGGTGAGAATAGCATTAGATGAAACACATTTTTCTCCTTTTCCTCCCTTTCCCTTCTCATACTAGATGGCTAGCTCTGGTCCACAGATGTCCAGAATGTGACTTTTGATAAAATGGCATGCAGCGCTAGGGATAGAAGATTAGGAGCATGGAGTGAGAAAGACTGGAGTGTGAGTCCAGTCCAGGCCTTACCACTTATTAGCTGTGCAATCTTGGGGAAATAACTTAACCTTTCTGAACTGCTATACTCTTCTTGATTAAATGGGGATGATAATATATAACAAATGTGTTAACTTTATAAGATTAAATGATGAACATAATGCTGTTATTATTATTTTGATTATTACTTTTATGAAGGTACCAGAAGCCCTGAACTGAATATAAATGTCAGACTTGTGCTTAAGGAAATCTGGATGTCTTAGAAATTGGGCTACTTGGGTCACAATAGGACATATAGAAGCTTCTACACACCAGATCTATAACTTCCTCCCCAGCAAGAACAGAATTCGCCTTCCAAAGTCAGTGGGGACAGACACACAGTGGAAGGGGACACAGCCAATCTTTTTAAAGGACCACCCCTGTCGTGGAATTGATTAGGAGATACATCTAATGAACTGTTGAGTGATTACAGCTCAAAGGAGGCCAGCCCTTGAACCCACTCAGGAGGGAAATGCCCCATGTACCAAGAGCCAATTTTGAAGCTCAATGTTCAAAAGGAAATGGGATGTTGGCTCATTTCCCAGTTTTGCTGCTGCTCCCCTTTGCCCTAAAGTCTGCTTCTGGTCTTCTGAACTTAAAAGACAAAATGATTTCAGCAGTCCCCAATCCGAGAGCCAAAACACTAACAGAAGAACTGACTGCAGGAAAAGATAACCCATTTTAATTACCTTCAGAATTATGCAGGGATTTGCTCTGGTGTACATTATAATCCCATTGCTTTGCAGGGTTCGAAGACGCAGAGCTAGTTTAAAGTCCTCTTCTTTGCTATTTTCAGAAAGCCGGTATTTGATGTAACTATTTCCAGCAAAGCTGAGAGAAGTGTGCCCTGCAAAGACCATTGCAAGAAGACATATATACTTTTAACATCCACAAACGATCAGGGACACATGAAATCACCCCAAGCACCACCAAGCAAGTGGATAAAGATCATGGGAAGTGAATGAAGGCACTGAGGAGAAACCATTTTTCATTAAAACCTGGTTCTCCATTTCATATCACACTCTAATTTTAAAGCAAAAAATTTATTAACCAGTCAGCTCCCCAAAAATCTTAGTTGTCTCATGCCAAGGACGACTTGGTAAATTCCATAACCTAGAATTTCTTATTGTCCCTAAATTCTCAACTCTCACTTTCCAAAATTAGTGTTATTAATGCCTTCATGCTGCCCCCAACAACTCCTGCACTCAAGAACTTTCAATCCCATGAAACAAAGGAAAGACAATAAAACCATTTTCAAATGATACTCGTATTCCCCAAGTATCCTAATGCCAAATCACCAACATTAATACATCTCATTTGTATTAATGTTAAAAAAGAGTAACTGATAGAAAGGAAATTCATGTATAGTCATAATTCCACTTTCTGATCATTAATTTTAAGGCTCCCCTTCCCAGAATCTTTAGTCCAACCCAAAATGCCTAGCTATGAGTTCGTTCATTTTTGTTATTGCCTTCAACTTTATGTTGTAGTTATCGAAAAGCTGCCTCACTGGGGCAAAAGATGGAAAGTGTGGAAATATACCAAATGGACAATAATCATGATAATCAGAAGTTTTCTACACAGAAGTGAGATCAGCAGAAAGTGACAAACAGTTAAGAGACTTGGCTTTATGACCACTGTGCACATCTGCCTGCTGGGTGCATGGTGTGCGTGTATGGGTAGCATAATTTTATTCTAAGTCTGAACCTTAGATGACTTATGCAAGCATCTGGATGGTCCCTTTGCTTCATGGCAGCTCCTTCTTAAAGTCAACCATGAAAGAGCTTTGGCTTCCACTTTTAAGAACAGTACTTCTCTTTGCAAAGACTGAGCCTTTAGAGCCCGATGCTTAGCAAAGAGCCTTGCTTATACTAGGCATACTTAATTTTGTTCCCACTATAATTATTACCATCACTCAATAACTATCTTTTGGACTTCAAAATTGTGGAATCACTGTGCCTGTATTTTAAATATATCCTAAAACAAAAAGAGGATTCTACTGATACCAAAAATGAACAGTACTCTTTTTAGAGGAAAGAAGTGGTAGGGAAGGAATATGTGAATGAAATAAAGCATTAAAATTGAATCAAAATCAGAAACAGGATCATTTGAATTAAAATAACCTAAATACTGATTTTTTAAAATTTCTTTAAGACACAGAGATGAGCACTTTTCCTTTCTAGAACATGAAGTTATTTGTACATTTCCAGTGGAGAGTCGGCTTACTTGGTGCTCCAGGCTGGGTTTACTCTATGGAAGGCCAGTAGGGTTGGCTTGGCTCTACTTTGTGTGGATCTTGGTTTTGTGGCCCTAGATTTGTGCAGCCCTCTGAGCAGCAAAGGCTATGCCACAGATACTCTGACTCCTCTGCCCAACCAACAGCCTTCAATTTTCCATAATTTCACACTCTTAATAGCCATGTTATATGATTGAAAACACATGCTGTAGTCTCGCCATGTAAGTCCACAGTCTTTACAAGTTTCCTTAGCAAAGGCTGCAGCTGTGATAAATCCCAAATAAATGTAAGAGTGGATGTTAGCTGTGGTCCATTCTGAAGGCAAATATTGCATGCATACAGAAGTGTCTTCTGGAAGGACTTGGACAGTATACTTTTCTCAAGGGCAAGTGTTTCAGGAATATGACATAAGACCCTTGTCATTCTGCCCCACTCTGCACCTGAGCACTCTCCGAGCTTCCCTGGTGGACACTGGCAGAGGAAGGGTCTTCTGCTGGCTTCATAACCGACACACTGCATGTCCCCTGGACACGGCTTCTCCAGGCAAGGATCGTTGGAACCTGGGCACAGTCCTCCTGTGACAAAGGAGGAACATACATGATCAGTATGCAGAGGGATTCACCCTATGCTCTGGGGAGCACAGGAATGGTTCAAAACCTGGGCTATACAGGCTCTGGGCTGAGTAACAAGCCACCCAGAAGCAGGAGCGCCTGAATAGGCTTTACCTGGTAGGGGTGCCTGTCATATGTCCCCACGTCTGCCAAAAGCTCACTGTCAGACTGAAGAATAAATAGGGTGCCTGCTTTTAGGTTAAAATATGCTAAGGTTACACATGGACCAACTCCAACGGAAGAAAGATCACAATGCAAGGGCCCTGGTAATATTTATTGGAGTGTGGTTCTTACATATTGTGTTTTCCCGAAAATAAGACCTACCCATAAACTAAGCCCTAGCAGGATTTCTAGGCATTTGCACAATATAAGCCCTACCCCAAAAATAAGACCTAGTGATGGGCGTGGCTACGAAGGGTATCTGCACAACCCATGCATTTTATCATGGAGCGTTAAAGAAGATGAGCAGCCCTTCTCATCTGCCCCATTGTGACAGCTACTATCCCAGAGGTGACCGGAAAGGTGCGGGCAGCCCTATCAACAAAGTCGGCTCCCCTTGTCAGGTCCCGGCCGTCCTGTGCATGCTGCAAGCTGAGTCTTTGAAGGGAAAATACCACATCCCCCGAAAATAAGCCTTAGGGTGTCTTCTTGAGGAAAAACAAATATAAGACCCTGTCTTATTTTGGGGGAAACACGGTATTGCTGACTATTTGAATGCATCACCTGAGTTTAGATTTCTTCTACACCCATCTCCTGTCCTGAAAACTTGGGGGTAGACTTTAGAAGATGTTAACTGTTGATTTCCGAGGGGGGCGGGGAAGATGTCTCTAAAGAAGAGCATGACTAATTCTAAACTGTGAAAGCACAACTTGCATTGTTTCCTAATCCCTTCTGCTACATGCTATTGTATTGATTTGCTGTAAACATGCCCTACGACCCATCAAAAATAGTAGAATTATCCCTGGCAGAAGGCAGGCTTCCTTTCCACCTATTCAGTGTTCACAGCACAGTAAGATGAAAGGTTAATCCCTCGGAAGGGAAGTCCTGGAAAGCAGATTTAACTGATTAAGGCAGAATTCAGGACCCAAGTGAATTATTTCAGAGTGGTGGTGGCAGCGAATGAGTCCACTGAAGGAAGCACACTTTTCAAAGGTCCTGGATATCTCACATGCATTAATAATTAGGCTACTTTCACTCTGGTAAGCGTTTAAGTGGTAAAAGGATTATAGAAAAGGAGACACGAATTAAAAATGACCCATAACTGAAACAGTTAATTTCCTAGGTGAGTTAGCAGTGGTCTAAAGGAGTATCTGGCCCCTCATCACGCTCCTTTTCATCCTAACTCTTTCCTTGTCATTAAGCATATTGTCCCATGTTACAGTCGTTTCTTTGTCCAGGGGAAAGTAGAAATTTAATCCTAGCTACATATAAACATTTTAAGAACTGTTATCTTTGAGAGGAGCAATGTAGGCAGCAGCAGCAAACTCAGAATTCATAAATCCTATTTTCTACTGGTTTACAGCTCCCTCATAAAAAGACTCTTGGTACTGATCCAGCTTACGAAGTCTTAGAAGATGAAGGTATATTTAACTGAAAATTTGGAAGGATCTCTACAAATGCTTCCATAAGACCCGAGTGCCCTGAAATAACATATTCCTATTTTCCTCCCCTGAAATCTTTATTCCTGCCATGCATTTATCAATGCTCATGGAACTTAAAACAGCAGTTTGACCATCTCACAACCTATTTCAAGAGGCTTTTGATAACCAGTTTTTAAATATTTTTTGGTGTATTCATTGAACAATTTTTCTAGGACCAATGAGATGTTAGGCCTGGGCATAGGATGAAAGAAAATGATGCCTCCTCTTACTCCCCCAGGAAATAACAGGTAAACACATGATTGCAATATAATAAGATAACTGCCTTGACAGAGGTGTGTGAGACAGAGGTGTGTGAGCACAATGGAGGTACCAGAGGAGGAACAATTCTGTCTCTTGGGAGAATGTTGTAAAGAAATGGAACATTTTAACTCAGGCTTGAAGGATGAGATCCTTTGAGTAACAAAGGAATGAGCTAACCATAGTTAGGGGCTTAACCTCATGCACGCCTTAATGTTTATTCATAGTAACTTCACAACCCTACCGGGTGACTCTGCTGTCTCCGTGTGTGGCTTCATCTCTGACAGTCTGCACATTGTTTAGGTTGCTCTTAAATGTTGACTAGTAGTTAGTATATGCTCAAAAATGCAAACTGCACTGGATTTGGATCACTTGAGCCTAGGAGTTCTAGACCACCATCTCAGGGGGGAAAAAACTGAGCTCAATGCTAACCTCAGACACATGGAAGTGGCAATGTGCATAAATGAATCACAAAATGCATCCCATCTATTTGATACTCCATATAACCAATATTTCTGTTCTTTCCTCTCTATAAGCTAGCACAAGAAATTAGGTCCTTTCTGAAATACATACTGTCAGAGGAACTTGACTTTTGTATGCCAACCCTGAACAATGTCACATGCCCCTTGGCCTTAGATGTGCTCAGGTCTGGGGACACTTTCCCAGCAATGACGACCCTCTTTCCAGCCAAAGCCCTAACTTACGTAGCAGCATAAAATCCAGAATGCTTTATATGGATAACAAGGAGTTAACTTGTTTTTAGAAATCACAATACCGCCGTCCCCTTTTCAGGGAAGTGTATATACCTATTACTGTGTTAAGAGCTTTACAAAGGCTCTCTCTGGTGGCAGAAAGTGCCACATCAGCTCCTGAGTACCAGTGAAGAGACAACAGTGTCAACCCCTGTTGGCTTCTGGGAGGAAGTTTATCTTATTATCTATCGTGAAATAATCCAGGTTTAATTAACTTGTGCTGTGTGCAGTGACAGCTTGGGGGGCGGAGGCTCACAGACCTGCACGTTCTGTGTCTCAGGCATCCATCAATTTGGTGCCAGAGTGAGCATGAAGGGAGAAGGGTCCCACTTCATCAAACCAACTGAGGCCATTTGCTGCACGTCAAGGCAGGACCAGACATTTTTAGCTGTTGTCACAACATAAAGCGGGCAGAACGTAAGCTCTGCTTCCCTCTCCCAGGTCCTCTAGAGGAAGGCAGGGCAGTGTCGTGGAACAAGATAGGTATTGCATTGACAAGCAGCAGAACTGGATGTTGGTAGTGCTTGTTACTTGATTTATTCACTGTGTGTCCTTGAACAAGTCATTTGGCTCTTCTGCGTCTCAGTTTCCTTTTCTGAAAAATCAGAATAAGCCCGTTATCCAAAGTGAGGCGACGCAAGACATGGAAAATGGGCCCCACATCTACTCGCCATCAAATTGGTACTGACTGATTAAAACTATGGTGCTCAAAAGGTGGCAATGTTCACCAGGGATTCGGGGCGGGGGCGGGGGGAGACCCAGTCTTAGGGATGTGGCGAGCATTATGGAGGGGAAGGGCATGACTCTAACCCTTCTTAGGGAGAGGCAAAGATATACAATGTAACCCAAATGTAAAAAAAAAAAAACCCACAAACAAACAAAAAAACCTTTTTATCAGGTGGTGGGCAGGCGGGAGGGGGAGGAGGAGAAGGGTGTGTACTTACATTATGTGTGCGGTGCGCACCACCTGGGGATTGGACACGCTTGAATCTCTGGCACATGGGGGGAGGGAGGTGAGGCAGGGGCAATATTTGTAACCCTAACAATATTTGCACCCCCATAATATGATGAAATAAAAGGAAGAAAAAAAATCAGAAAAAAGATTCTACACAGCACTGTGGAAATGAAATGGGCAAGTATATGTCAAAGCATCTTGTAAAGAAAAAAAAATTGTAGTAAAAGCAAATCACTACAAGCTCTCAAAACTGGAGATACTAACTTGCCTCTACAATGTGGCAGAGAGCTGAAATCAGGTATAATCCTTTACTTGGCTTTTTTTGGGTCAAATTCACAATTTATAAATTGGTAGATGACAGGAAATATACTGTGTGCATTGGAGGCACAGAATAGGGCCTGGAGCTTTGTACTCCTTGGTGTCGCGGGGCACCTGCAGCTGTGTCAGCCTCTTCACCGTCTTTTCTGCCTCCCGTGCAGGTGTTCTTTTCACACAGGCTCTCCACCAGGAGAAACGAGCACACAATGCGGCCATTCTCTGAAAGAAGGCTTTCCACCTTCTGAATGTTTGCTCAGGTGGAAACTGGTCACTTTCTACAGAGCTGACAGCAGATGACTGACTTGAGCAGAAGCTTCAGTGCTTGGGAACATGCAGGGAGGAGAAGGGGGATCCTCTTGAGGTTTTAAAGGGTTTCGCTACATATTTATGACTCCTCTCTCCTCGTCTACCCAGCATTCCCACAGCCCCTGAATTAAGTCTGTGTCGTTAGCCAAGACATCAGTATCAGGGTGTGATTATGATGCTGCCACTCTGAGCTGATTCAACCTCTTGATTTATGTTGCTGCCTCATTACACTGAAGAATCCAATAACTAACAGTAAATATCCCACGTCCTGAATCCACATGCCTTGCCAAGATGCCATGTCATGGCAAATAGCACGCAAGTCAATAAGCTTCCCTCTTAATTCACGGCCTGCAAGAAGTTTGAAAACACTGAGGTCTCAGCTTTAAAGTTGTTCCTTGTCCTAGAAGCAGAGAATCACCCAGAATGGTGTTTGCTTGACTCAGCCATGTTTTCTCTCTGATTTCAGTAAAGGCTGAGTGCAGTTTCATTCAAGACCGCCTCTCTGGGGGCAGTTGTGTGTGGGTGGCATATATAAGGGAATGTCCACATGCTGAGAAGCTGCTATCACTACCAGGATGGGGACTTCCAAATCTCGCCTGGCACTTTGGGAATCGTGAGTGCTGGAGATGAGGGATCTGTAGACATAGCTCTTATGAATCAAAAATAGAAAGTTTCCAGTTTGTTGGGGCAACCTGTTTAAGATTCAGAGACAACACTGAGGGCTATTCAAAACCA